GCGTAGCGGCCGTCGCGGCGGAACCCGGTTAGGCGGGCGTACACGAGGCGCGGGTTGAGGGCGAGGAGGACCGAGGGCCCGAGGCCGAGCTTCTCCAGGACGCCGGGGCGGAAGGGGTCGATGAGGACGTCGGCGCCGCGTGAGACGAGTTCCTTGATGAAGGATGTGCCCGGGGGGGACTTGAGGTCTACGGAGATGGAGGCCTTGTGGCGGGTGAGCGCGTCGGCGGTGGGGAGGGAGCGGGTGTCGGAGGCGCGGTCGATGCGGATGACGGAGGCGCCTGCGTCGGCGAGGAGCATGCCTGCGAAGGGGCCGGGTGCTAGGCCGGCGAATTCGAGGACGGTGATGCCCGTCAGGGGCGGAGGGCCTATTTCCGCCATGTTGGGTGGTGTTGACGAGGCTTTGGGAGGGCGAGAGTGGACGGGGCCTTTGATGTGCGGTTGGTTAAAGGCCGGTGGTGGGTGATTCAGGGCATTTTGTGGGTTTGGGAGGGCATTTGTTCTTATTTTGTGGTGGTGGTGAAGCTTGAATGACGTTGGCGGCACGAGGTGCGATTGAGCCGAGGCTCTGGTCGTGGCGGGAACCGAAACGCGGAGGCGGAGGTGGGGGTGGAGCTGCGTGATGGCGGGGGCCGGCAACGCTACTGTGAACCGAGTGGCCGTGATTAGCTTGCATTGCACACTTGCATTGTCTTGGTGAAAATGTGTCAACTTTACTGCCAAGTGTCATTACTATGAACGACATCTCTAAACTCTAGTTGCGGGCAAGGCTAATCTTGATTATGGGCAAGTCACATGTAGCTGTATCATCAACCTCCCTGTCCAGGGTAATAGATGGCCTGGCCCCTAGAAAGACGAAAACTCAAAAGGATAAAGGATAAAACGCCGCGTACTTTCAGCGTATAAGATAATAACATGCTGACTTGTTCCCACGTTTGCAAGCGAAGCGATTGTAGCTTACGGACTGTAATATATCCAAATAAAGGCTACGTTTGGCGAGGAAGCGGGGGAACTAGCACGACACAAGGCGGGTTTCTTTGGACGGCTCTTACTCAAATTTCCCGTGGCTAATCCCGAGAAAGATGAGCTTGAAAACAATATCGAAGAACATGTGTTGAGTCAAAAAGGTGAAATCCGAAGAATATTGGTCACGATAATTGCTTTTTCTAGGGCTCAAATTGGGTCTCAAATTGAGGGTCACGACAGGGGTCTTCAGGGGCTCTAGCAGGGTATAAAAGTGTCAATTTCCCGAGTTTTTCAGGTCGTTGAACACAACTTACAAGTCTGTAATCATCATCTTTGTCAATAAAGCTGCTTAATTGAGGCCCTAACACGCCTCCCAAAATCACATTATTCCGCCGTGTAAATTGCTGTTAGATTCAACAACAAGGCAGTCAGGGCGTAGAGATTACGAGCCGTGTTAGTAACCAAGGTGGTACATAGCCCTCCACGTTATTTGATTTCAATTAGTATTTAGTCAAATGTTGCAAGAGCCTACCTTTCCCTTTCTCGCGCCGGCAGAAGGTGCTTTCATGCACTTGCCAAAGGCGGCCTTGGCCACCTACTTAAGAACCGTAGGTAGGTACTCCGTACCTAGGCAGTAAATGTGCGAAGTAATTCGCAGTCATCACCTTTACAATCCTACAACGCTGGAGTCACGTGGCTGATTTTGCTCCGAGTACCTCATCAGTCGGCTGGTAGGTGCACATACCTGTCAGCCGTTTGGTGAACCGTGCTGCCTTGGGTACCTGAGGCACAAAAGTCTATCTCAACACGTTCACTTCAACAAACAGAAACTGCAGTCATTTTACGGCGCCCAAACTACTTCGAATACCGCATCATACAAGTCCAGGATCGCTGTGCTCCAATACAGATGGAACATACAGAACCGCAGCCAGCCCTGCCCGACGGCGGCCGAGAACTCCTGGACAAGAAACGTCGGGCTTCTGAGGAACCAATCACAGCCTCCGATACCAAAAGAATCAAAACCGCTCATAATGAGTCAGCAGCCTCTTATATTGCAACTCCGGCTATACCGTGAAGGGTTCCTTTTCCTGACAGGGTATGTTTCGTCTCAGACCATGAAGACACGTTCTAACCATCTTATAGCCTGTCGTCTTGGAAGAACGAAATGGCGAGATTGAATTTTGAGTCGTCAACAACGACGGCGCTGGAGAGAGCGTCGTTGTCCTTACCGGTCTAAAGTGCTTGTTTCAAAAGCAGCTTCCGAAAATGCGCAAGGATTACGAAGGGGGGACACTTATGCTGTGCTCGATGCTCCCCCGGATACGGTACCTAGAAGTCGGCCGCATGCTTCTCAAGCAAAAGGAAGTGGTGCAGGCCAAGATTCGGGCCATAAGTAAAAGCCACATTGTTCATCAACAGTCGCAGCAATGGGCCAACATTGCCGTAAGCCCGATCGACCCCCTTGCTATTCCTGCTATCCGGGCAACTGGTTGGTGCTCGGATATGGACGACTTGTCAAGGGAGCCTCGCCACGGACCGCATTTTAATGAGCTTCGACGTGTTTTGTAACAAATCCAGAACCATAAACAAGCTCGGCCCTTTCCGCATCCCGTCAACAAGGACGAAGTCCCTAATTATTATGTTATTACAACACCGATGGATCTGTCGACAATGGAAGAAAGACTAATGCACGATTCTTACCATGCTCCGAGAGACTTTTTCAACGATATGAAACTTGTTTTTGGTAATTGTCGGCAATATAATGACGCAACAACGGTATATAACAAGTGTGCGGTTAGATTGGAGAAGTATATGTGGAGCCTTATCAAAGAAGTTCCGGAATGGTTTGACCTATTCGAGGAATAATTTGTATTAGTACATCGATCTTCCTGGGGGTGGACTGTCTATTTCTCTTTGGACCCATTATCGCCGCTTCCGCCTATACGACAAAGAATTTGTTGGATTCGAGGCGCAATTGAGCACACGATGCTTTCATTCATGGCAGCCAATACTACACGATTCTTACACCTTGTCGCCCGGCGCGGCCTGCGTACCAGGTTCCATACGCTTGTGTCACGTCCAGAAGACCTAGCTTCATTCGTGGGACCCCGCTTCAGACGCCTCGCCCTGCTCCTCCATCTTCTCCTTCTCTCTCGTCTCAATCGTCGTCTGCTTCTCCCACATGACGTGGTACTTTCCTCGGAGCGCCAGCAACTCCTCATGAGTGCCGCGCTCGACGACCTTGCCCTTGTCCAGAACAACAATCTGGTCAGAATTGGTGATGGTAGAAAGGCGATGTCTGGTAAAGAGAAAAATTAGCTCCCGTCTAAGCAAAGTGATATAGGCGGCTTACGCAATGGTGATTGTGGTTCGCCCAGACGTGACGCGGTCGAGGGCATCCTGGATCTCTCTCTCGGTATTGGAGTCCAGCGACGCAGTGGCCTCATCTAGGAGCAATATAGGCGCATCTTTAAGAATCGCACGTGCAATGGCAATCTAAGAGACGTATTTTTGGTCAGCCAGCTGGAAACAGGGTGTTGCGCAAGGGAGGAACAGGAGATCTTACCCGCTGGCGTTCTCCGCCGGACAATTTGAGACCGCGCTCTCCAACCTTGGTTTCGTATCCGTCCGGGAAATTGAGGATGCTATCGTGAATATTGGCGGCCTTGCATGCTTCGTGGACATCGGCCTCGGTGGCATTTGGAGAGGCGTACAGCAAGTTGTACATGATTGTCGCGTTAAACAGCACCGTATCCTGCGGCACAACGCCAATGTTTCTGCGGAGAGAGTCGGTCTTGAGATCCCGCAGATCGTGGCCGTCAACGGTGATGGCGCCGTCGGTGACGTCGTAAAAACGGAAAAGAAGTTTCAAGCAGGTTGATTTGCCGCCGCCAGATGCCCCGACAAGGGCCGTCTTGGTACCTGGGGCAACGGTAAAGCTGATACCATCGAGAACAGGCTCGCCCTTCTTCACTGGATACGCAAACTTGACATTCTTAAAGGCAACTTCTCCTCGTGCGGCAGGTAGAGCGACGGCGTCTGGCTTTTCCACAATGCCCGACGTTTCTTTGAACTGTGGCATGTCAGAAGCTGAGAATTGAATTGGCTGTCAGACATGGCTGGGATAATGACTTACCAGGTCAAGGAGCCGCTCGGCCTCGATGAGATTGTTTTGAAGCATGGTGTAGTACGTGCCAAAGAAGTTGAGAGGGCCCTGAAGCTGGACAAAATAGTTGATCAAGCTGACAAATCCACCGACCGTCTGCTCGCCAATGGAGATTTTGTATGCCGACACGGCGACCAGAAGCGCGGTGCCGAGGGTGAATATGGAACTCTGGACGATGTTGAGACCGTTGAGCGACCACTGCACCAAGCGCTCGGCCCGTTGGAAAACGAGCACATGGTCCTTGAATCTTTGAGTTTCGCGAGGGATGGCGCAGTTATGCTGCACTGTCTCGTAGGCGATGATGGCATCGGTCCTGATGGCTTCCATTTCGCGCGTCTTGGTGGTCATGTCTCGTCGTTGTCTGGCACGATATTTGACTAGGTACAGGGTGAGAAAGATGTAAGACCACATGATGAAGAAGACAATGACTGTGTAAAAGGCGTCGTATTTGACAAAAAAGACGACGCCTGCGAAAAAGATGTCAAAGATCATGGGGAACACCTGAAAGCAAAAAACCTCGAGAAAAGTGTTGGTGGCCGCGCCGCGACTGAGCGCGCTGGTGACCTCGCCGACCTTTTTGTTCAGGTGAAACTCCAAGGACAAGCCAAGTACGTGTTCAAAAGCCGCCGTTGATAGTCGACGAAAGAGAGACTGGGACACAGGAATCCAGAGGACGGACCGCAGGGCCCCGATGGCTCCTTGGTTTCCCTGCAGATAGCGGTAAGCGACGAAAAGGATAATGTCCTTGTACGGTATGCCGCCTTTGCCGAGGGCGTCGACAAGGTTTCCCAACTGCAATGGAGCCAGGACGTTGACGATGCGCTGGCATATCAACAGAAAAACACACACAACAACAACAGCCTGGTAGAGTACGGAGTCCTTCGGCCTGGTGGAAGTTAGCTTGCGTTTGATGTCACGATGCTGATTCAACGGCGGTCGTACCAGAGATACGGAAACAGGACTCGGAAACTGGCCACATAAGTGAGCCAGCTCATACCCGCCATCTGTGGCGTTTTGCCCGCGTCTGATGCTGGCTTGGAATCTGGGACCGTGGCATAATTGCCGGACGATCCGTTGCCATTCTCCAGCAGGGACTGGCGTTCCTCGGGCAGAGATTTCGGCACTGACGGTCTCAGCTGATATTCTCTGAAGATGAGAACTGCCGCCATGAGGACAAAGATGGCGACTCTGGATACCCCTAGAGCATTCAATGCATCGATAAACGTCTTGGGACAAGCCAAAGAAGTCTGTGTAGAAGACAGGACAGCAGCAACAACGACCTCCATCAGGGCGCCAGTGATCCAGGCCGAGCCATGCGCAGCAGTTGGGTTCCAGGGCCCTTGAGGATCAGGAAGCAATCCGGCCAGAAAGTAAAGCAGAACGGCGACGTAGGAGGCCTGTGGTTCACGTCAATGGGCCATTGGAGCATGCACATCCCGTGGGAGCACTCACCAGATATGCGCTGAAGGGAAACGCAGTCGTACCGGGAGCCTCGCCATGGTCAGCGAGCGCCTCTTTTGCCGCCAGAGAGGTGCTGGCAAGTAACAAGGCAGACTGCACAAGCTGGAGGCTCCATATCAGCCAGGCACATATCCGTCGAGTGCGCTCCGGTCGCTTTGGCTCATGGTCGGATGGGCTGGGATTCGCGATGCGCGCCGCCTCTCGACGCCGATTGCGGAAGAACAAGAGACATTGCGCTCCAATCAAGGTAAGGGTGAGGAGGACTGGGTAAAGATAGAAGAGTGTCTGCAGCGCCAGCTCTGCTCTCGCCATTGATGCGATGAAAGCGACTATCACGGGATGAGGTTGCGATAACAGGTCTAAAGAAGCGTGACTAATCGGAGCTGTGTTTTCACGGAAAGCTGTCCGGTAACTTGGCGGCCCACATATGCATCCACATCCTCGGTGGTAATGGCTTGGGTTAGGGTTAGAGTTTACGTATTATATATTTAAGAATAAGTTATATCTAATATTAATTAGAAAGTAATAGTTTATTGTCTCTCTTTTATCTTTCCTTCCTTACCCTGGTCCCTTATCTGAATATCTGTTCTTTTATCCACTCTAGTAACTGCACGATAAAACCCTAACCCTAACATATACATCATCTCTACACCGAAGTGTGCTGCTCCTGTGAGCGGCGTGCGCTAAAAAGGAGACTGTAAAGGCGCAAAATGTTCAAAGTACGTGAATTTTACGCCTTTGTCGTTGCTGAAGCCGGTTTTGTAGTTTCTTTCGCTGCTTCCGCTCTGTTACACGGAAAAGGCCTAACAGATCGTGAAGCCTAATAAAGGGGCTTCACGCTAATATAGGACTTATTAGTTACACAGCTAGAACATAATATATGACTTATTAGTTACACAGCTAGAACATGTGCCTAGGTAAGGCCCCTAGGCCTAGGCGTTCCTTTTATATATATAAGGTAATTACTTTTCTTTTCTTTTCTTATAATAACTTAAAACCTTTAATATTTTATAAGATTATTATTAAATTAAGCCCTATTACTTTAAGCTTTTATAATTAAACCCTTATTATAAATAATCTTATACCTTTAAAGAAAACCCTACCTAATTAATTATATAACTTTTCTTCCTTTATATTATATTACCTCTTTTAATCTCTTATAAGTAAGGTAATAT